TCTCGCTGTAGTAGCTCCTGCATCACATCATGATCCGTCTGATAGCATCAGAACCTGAATAAGAGAGCGTGCGGTAGTTGCATCCAGCTGTCGACCCGAGAATGCCGCACGTGCATCCAATACCACTCGCGGGCACGGCCGGTCAGGAGCAGGTGAAAGCCGCGCAGGACCTTCTTCCACGGTGTATTAAGAATATATTTTGAAACGGCCAGCACGTCAGTGCTGTTTTGTATCTTTGTTCAGAACGGATTTATTCGTATTTAAAATTATGCAGTGTAAGCATAAACGGTGAGGCTAGTGAGGCTAGTGAACAGCGGTACGTAATATGAGCCAGAGCCCATACATTGAGTGGCTCTGGGCTTGTTTAACATATAACTGTTATTGTATGCAACAAAGTGCCGCATACTTTATATTTGCATATAGGGTGTTCTTTTAAGGCATATACACACTACAACGGGCATTGATATTGTCTCTGCAGGAACTCCAGCCGAAACACAAAGTCCTCGACAGCATTCATGGCGACCTTGCCATCGAACGTGACGTTCCACCGCTCGAGCTTCAGGTCATTCGCTCTCCGATCCTCTACTCGGAAGTGGCGATTATTCGGATTACGCCAGTTCCTCGCCTGAGCATCTGCAACGTATACTGGGCTGCTGGATGAGTACGCCGGTCCTCGCGCGCCTTGTCTGTGCGGCTTCCGTGGCACCGGTGGTGGAAATGCCTCGCGCTGGATCACTCGCTCTTTCGGAATGGCGCCTGTTAGGCTCTCCGGCATGGCTCCCTGGTGGCCTAAGCACATCAATGATGCCCTTCATCATCTCCATGAATCCTGTTCGCATCTCCTCGCGGACGGACTCGCTGATGCTAGATGTCAGCATGCAGATATGTCTGGTGGCCTGAGCTAGCGTTCGCTGCTGATGTGCGTACTGAGTCTTTCGTCGATTTTGGGAATTCTAGGTTCCGTGGACGTCTGTCTTGTTGCGCCAATTCCTTCTCTAAGTCTACTAGATGACCTTCCACCAGTCTGTCTCTTTGGAAATCCCCGGAAATTCATTGGCGTTCTCACCAGACCTCCTGCCAGACGCGGCGGTGGCAGTGCTGACGCTCCGTCAGCGTCAGAAGCCGAGTCCGACACCTGTTCTTCAGCCATACTAATCCCTTCAAAAAACCGTACCCCCCTCTACCATAAGGCTTACTAACCCTAATACAGAGAAAACTTCACAAGCAAATCTTACTAATATTGAATAAATAAATAAATAAATAAACATCGACCACAAAACTAACTCACAAAAATACCTTATTTATATTTTCCCGATCAATTTCATAAACTTTGGGGGGAGAGAAGACAACATGCGAACGTGACTTACCGCCATCAACCACGACAAGAAAAACTTTTTATGCTCAGTAATATTCTAATTATCTGTGCCTCAGTCGTGCTTCTCGGATTCCACTACACGCTGCGCGATTATGAGCCGCCTACTCGTGCTACTTAATACATCAGCGGTGTGGATCCTAAAGCCAAGGGAAACTTTACCTTGTACCTGCATTGATTTTTTATTTCTTTTTTTTTATTTCTGCCCCCGACTCCAAATTAGCCGGGTGCTTCTTCAAAATTGGGAGCCGCCGGCTGACTCATCGGTTCTCTGGATGTAGTCCCATCCCTGGCCCGCAGTCCGCACAATCGATACCAACAAAGCTACAAAGTCTGTAGCAAAACAGACCTACACAACACTATTCAAAATGAACCACATAATCGATAACAACAAACAGCCGGAACTATTAACAAATTAACAACACAACCAGCTGTAACAACAACAAAATGTAAACAACAAAGGTGAGACGCTCAATATAAATTAACAAAAAAACACTATTTATCCACTTTACTCTTCCAGATCGGGTCCCGGTTCCAGACCCAGCGTACCCGCCCTACCTGAGACGATCACCTTATCTCGTCTCTCTCATTTTGGCCACTAGATGGCCCGCATCAGCCCGTGACAGCTGTTATGCCCACTCTCCCCATCAATTAAAGCTTAGCCCGACATTCTTTTCCTCCAATATGTGCGTATAATTGGTTGCGTTTTCTTAAAATTAATAACAATTAATATCATTTCTTACTGCATTTATCTTTGAAGCCACTTACAATCTCATGCAAGCATTAACTTCACAGGTGCGTATAATTATTTGTGTATTCTTATAATTATTCACAATTAATAATACTTCTATTGCAGGCATCTTTGCAGGCTATCTCCACTCAGTTATTTACGTTCTCATTTCTTCACCACGTGCGTATAATTGTTGCATATACTTATGATTATGGACAAGGTGTATTCATTGCAAAAAAATGCAATTCTTTTCTAGCCGAACAACACAATTAAAGGGAAAGATGTTACCGAAAGTTATGGCCAATTGCCGCTGGGAACAACGTTGGAGGACAAATTTATAATGCTCTTGGAACGGACTCACTCGGTACTATGAGCGAGGTCTCGCTCGTGGCCGCTTCTTGGCCTATCCTCCTGGGCAGCGTCGGTGATCAGTGCGCCGAGGGTATGGCTGACGTGCGCCGCTGCATCGAAACTATGCCTGGGGTTGCCTCTTTGGCCTCTCTAGTCCGAGAGCTAGTCTTTTCGTTGCCGCTTATTTTATTTATTGTCTTATTGTTTATATTTATTCGTCCCGTTTCGTAATTTTTAAGTTTTTTTTAATGTGTGAAACAATGTTTGAATTCACGATTCCTTATTAAATCGCAAAAATAAAAAAATATTCATTTGACAATTTTTATTTTGCACGAACTTTTCTAGACATTTTTTTATTTTGGCAGCAACATCATCGGTGCCGAATCGGCACACGCATACATTCGAGGCGGGCACCGTTGCTGCCCATCTGCACAGATGCTTTTTTTTTGGGTTAACGGCGCAAATGAAGGCCAAGAGCATATCCAAGGGCAGGCGATCCGCTCTCCCTATAATTTCTTTAGGAGCGAATCGGGTTGCCTTTATTAAACTCCTGATTTCATTGTATTCATATACAAGAATCTCAGTGTTGTTATGGTTGGTTGCAAAACTGGTGCGCTCTTATTTATGCACTTATATGGTTTGTCGAAATTCGATCTATGCAGTTTTTTTTTTTCAACTGTTTGGTGCCATTCCATGTGGCACTTCCTTTTTTTTATATTATTTATGCAATCGGACCATTACTATTGTTGCTGGTCCCAAAATTGGGTGTTCTTCGGTAATTATTTTGACTGAGACATATGGCAACGTACTAAGTACTATTCCCTTTTCTATCTGCAGGCAATGTCTTAACGGGCATGTGTTAGTGCCGTAAGTTTCTATATATTCTTGTTCGAATTCATAGACTGTAATGAATTCGCTATGTAATCGCTGTACATTTAGTGCGCGAATACGAAAATCAGGCTCATCTTTATATGTGCGCCCAATAATGGATTCTATATCTGTCATAGTTTTATTATTTCTATATTGTTCTTTCCTTTACTTTGGTCGTTGTGACCAATTGTTAAATTCTTACGTTAAGGTGAGTGTCCCTGACATAGACTTGTCTTATTACTATTTGGGTGGCCATAATGTTGTATTTCAACATTTTTATAAAAAAAACTTTTTTTTATTTTTATTTATTTTTTAAATTTTTGGGGTGTTCATGCAATACAAAATTTTCATTTAAGAAATTTTAAGAAACTTTCTCAAATTTTGGCAAATACCCTGCTAATATAGCGTTTTTTTATAATTTTATTGCGTTTGACGTACAGTGTTAACAAAAACTGTGCGACGTTCACGATTGCTATAATTAGAAGCAATATCCACAATAAGCGGATATCGTCTGTGTGGTCTACAATCTTGACATTATTAACTACGTTGGCTGTATTATCTTTTGTCTGACTCGTCAGAACCAATCCAACCCATTTTGAAATTTTTGTTAAGTGATCCTATTGTAATCTACATGCAATTATATATTCGTTTGGTGACTTACAAGTTGATCGTTATATAATTCTATGCCAATCATATGCTTTTGGTATACAGCCTAGCAGAGGTTAGTAGTTTTCCAGGCAGCACTTTCATGCATCGGCTTGAGTTAGAAGTTTTTGGCAATTTAGGCATTGGCATTATTGCAGCCCTTATTGCGTTGCTTTGCATCAGTACGAAGGTGTTCCTCGATTAGCTTGATGTTCATGGGCGGTCTGCCTCTCACACTTTTATACACTGCTGCTGCTGCTCATTATATTTGTAATCCGAAGATAGCAGTATACTGTTAATTATTGGTATTTATTGTCAGTTTACAGAATATATATCAGATATTTGTTTTATGGTCAGAAATTGTTGTGATTATTTTTATTTGCTTAACACTTTTCTTTTTCACTTCGGACCAAGTCACGGTAGCCATGTAATAAGAATATATTTCGAAACGGCCAGCAGGTCAGTGCTCTTTTGTATCTTTGTTCAGAATAGATTTATTCGTATTTAAAACTATGCGCTTAGCCTATGGATATACAAATGTACTTATGCTGTTATCGGTTAACAGCTACAAAGAGAGGGAGAGTGAGTAGCTTGCATATGCCTGTGTTAGTGAGCATATATATTGCTCATGGAATGCGCTCAGACGGAGCGTGGGATATGCAGCGTAAGCATAAACGGTCAGCTAGTGAGGCTAGTGAACCGCGCTGCGTAATATGAGCCAGAGTCAATACATAGAGTGGCTCTGGGCTTGTTTAACATATATGTAATTGTTATTGTATGCAACAAAGTGCCGCATAATTTATATTTGCATATAGGGTGTTCTTTTAAGGCATATACACAGTACACCTCCCCTTTTAGAAGAATAACGTAATATTATAAAGTATTAATAAATGTGTATTTATTTAAAATAAAAAGTTGTTACGGAACTGCTTGTTTCTCAGTGGGCGGCGCCGGCTGGCTCATCGGATTCTCTGGGTGTAATCACTAACCAAAAAACTTATGTTTTTATGTTTTATGTTTTTTATGTTATGTTTTTTGGTTAGTGGTGTAATCCCATTCCTGGCCCGCAGTCCGCACAATCGATAACAACAAAGCTACACGTCTGTAGCAAAACAGACTCACACAACACTACTCAAAATGAACCACATAATCGATAACAAATATTCGGAACTGCTAACTCATGAACAAAATAAACAGCTGTAACAACAATGAAAATGTAAACAACAAAGGTGAGACACTCAATATAAATTAACAAAAACACTATTTATCCACCTTACTCTTCCAGATTGGGCCCCGGTTCCGGACCCAGCGTACCCGCCCCACCATGAGACGATCACCTGCACTCGTCTCCCTCTTTTTGACGTGTCGGCCATCATGCCCACTCTCCCCAACAATATGAATTTAGCCGGACATTCTTTTCTTTCAATTAGTGCGTATATTTGGTTGCGTTTTCTTAAAATTTATAACAATTATTATCATCGCCTACGGCATTTATCTTTGCAGCTATTTAGAATCTCATGCAAGTGGATATTTCGTTAACTTCACAGGTGCATATAATGGTTTGTATATTCTTATAATTATTGCCAGTTAATATTTCTTTTATTTCTTTCTAATTTTCAAGAGGTCTCCATTCAGATTAATTATTTTTCATGCACGTAAACATTTCTTCTCCAGGTGCGTATTAATGTTGCATATACTTATACTTATGGACAAAGTGTATTATTTTCTAAATTTTTTCTTATCTTATAGAATTCATTTTTTTTATTTTTAACAGAACTAAATGGAACAGGCGACGAAATACTACAAAGATATTGCTAGTCGCCGCAAAAAGAGACAAGCAAGGGGGCAATTTAGAGGCAATCGTTGCGCCGATATAGGAACAATGTGCCCGCACAAATACTGAGAACTGGGTATGTCACGATAATCAGTCGTGCAGCAGGTAGGTGATATATATCTGTATTAAATCGCTTAATTCTACCTTACTCTACCTAAAGAGCTCTCTGGGGGGTGGTAAGGGGCGATATAAGTGGGTAATCCAAACTAGGTAAGTATGTGAGTATAGTTCGCGCAAGTGTTAATTTTAAACTTTTATATTTTACAGGCGCAGGTGCATCACCTTTGGAGTTTCCCTCACCGTTCGCACTCTTAAGTGGCGCTCGGCGTAAGTGCCTATGTATGTATAGATATAATTTATAAAAAAAAAAACTAAATTTAACGACAAACAAAAATCTGCTCTTTTTCAGGGAGTACAATCAGGAGTCTTCATCTGACTCTGCCAAGGGCTCGAGCGAAGAGGGGCAAAATGGAACGGACTCACTCGGAGGATGTGGGCGTGTCTCGCCTGTGGACGCTTCTTCGTTGTTGGAGCCCGGTCGTTGGTGGCTCGTCTCGTCGCCTTCAGGGTTGCGCCGATGCTTGGCTGGCGGCGTCGCGGATATGTCTGGTGAATCGCCGAATCCTGGCCTTTGAGATGTTTCATGGCCCTCTCTGGTGCGGGAGCTGGTCCCTTCGTTGCCGGAGCCGTTTACTTTGCTAACAGTCCTCTGATTTTTATTGGTTCGGCTCTCGTCGCACTTAAGTTTTAAGTCTCTTTTAATTTTATATATTTGGTGACTCGAATGGTTCAATTCACGTATATTTATTAAATTGCAAAAGAAAAACCAACCGAAAATTTTATTTGGTTATTAAGTTTTTTTTTTTGTTGCTACGCGCCGGCTTAACTTGCCTGATGGAAAAAAATTCGGATCTTTTGAGCCGACATGCAAGATTAAAATTTTATGCTCACTTCGAGCTGGCACGCCCGCTGTTGACCGCTGATCAAATCGAACTCCCCGTACATTTGGGCAGCAACATCATCGGTGCCGAATTTCGGCACACGCATACATTTGCGAGGCGGGCACCGTTGCTGCCCATCTGTACAGCTGCATTTTTTTGGGTCAACGGCCCAAATGAAGGCCAAGGGCATATCCAAGGGCATGCGATCCACTCTCCACTCTCTTGCCAATGCCAATGTCGCTTTTGGCGCCGTGGATCGCAAGCCTGGCGTTGCCACCCTTTTAAAAATTGGGCTCCGCTGTTGGCCCAGCTTCACCCCCCATACAATGACCATATGACAAAAAGATATCGGCGTGACCGATAATATCGCACGCAACCAACTAAGCAAACCCTCGATGCTGCCAATAACGTCAAATGCAACAAAGTTCTGTAATAAGAATATATATTTGCATGTTATATATGTTAATTTATTTTTTGTATGGCTGATCTGATATATATATTTTGTATTGTAAAAATGTAAAATGTAAATTATGTAAATATTCCATTTAATAATAATAAGAACAATAATACGAATTGAAGATGCTAAAATGATTATGAAGTAAAAATTTTTAACCTATCCTTATGAATTTTCTGTTTGTTATCTTTAATTAAAATATTATCATTAACTTCTACTGTTTCTACTGTGTATGGTCCCAAATATACTGGATCTAACTTATGACCTGCTTCATTTCTTAGCAATACTTTATCTCCTATTTTTAAAAATCCGAGGTTTTATTATAGTTAAGCTTTCAATAAGCCGTAGCTTTTTCTAACAGATGTCTAGCTCTTTTATATGCTTTTTCTAATCTAAATTTTATTTCCTTAGAATAATCGTTTATATTATAGATCGGGTCTTTTTTAGCTATCTTGTTAAAATCTATGAACTGTCTTGGTGGTCTTCCAAATACTAGTTCGTATGGCATAGCCGAAGGTGTCGTGTTGAAACAATAAGTGAAATATTGGATCCAAACGTCCCAATCGGATTTGTCTGCTGAAATGTATGAGCGAATATATTCATTGAATGTTCTATGACTTCGTTCTATTGTCCCTAATGTCTGGTGGTGATATGCAGTAGAAGTAAAATTCTTGATATTCATGTACTTGCACATGTCTGATATTACTTGATTCTTATACGCAGTTCCCATGTCCGAAATGAACGTCTTCATTGGACCGTACTTAAGTATAAAATCTTCGAATATTGCTATACAGTATTTGCACTTTCGTTAGCAATTGGTATGGCTACTACTAATGTTAAATCACATATTTGTGTGACGATATATTCATTGCCATATTCAAATCTTGGTAGTGGACCAACGGTGTCCACTATCACTATGTCCAAAGCATTTGTTGGTGTTTCAGTGTAGGTCATTGGGGTCTTTGTATGCGTCGTTGTTTTTGACATTTGGTA